ACGTCGAAATAGTCCGCGAGTCTTGCATCTTCACCATCAAGTTTCTATTCACAACAGATAAAAATCAGTCAATGCATGCATTCATGAATTGAAGTAATTAGAATTATTCAATATTACAATATGTGCACTAGTTAAAGTATTATTGTACTTAAAAGTTTAACTAATTAGTCATGTGCAAGAGTGAGTTTTAGAAAAAAAAATTATTAATGAACGTATTACCTGAAGTTCAGATTCTAAGAAACTAAGAATAATTCCAGGGATAACCCCTCGGATTCCACCTCCATCAATGCTGAGAATGGTGACTAGTTTTCCATAAGTTGGAGGTTTTAAAGCTGAATTTAGCCCTTCCATTAGCAAATTTTGCTGTACTTTGTTTGTAAATTAATCAAAAGAGGACGAAGAAGGGGGACAAGGAATAATTTAAATCAAGAGCCTTAAACTAATGAAATATTTTGAGCTTTGAGAGCTTTGGAGGATCGGACAATGAGACTTATTTTTTGATGCATAAACACACATTTGCATATGGGTATTTATAGACGTTCCCCTCGTTCTCTTGTGAAGGAATTTTGACTATGTAATTAGAAAAGAAAAAAAGGAAACACTGTGCGAAATTTGACCAAGCTCCTACTAATTTCTTGGAAAGAGGTCGAGTCAATTGGACATATTAAAGTATGTTGAAGAAAAGTATATGTAGGTGTCCTTTGTTCGTTCCTACCCCATTTTGACATACTTCAAGTGGAGAACAATTGGAAAATTAACATTTAGACCGCTAGATTCACTGCCTTTTTCATTTGGGTCATGGTAAGAATTTTAGGTTAGACTTGAAGAGAATTGTAGGTAAGACTAAGTTGGTGTAAGGTGCCGCAATGAAGAGAACGTGAGCAACTAATCAATCTAACTCATCAGGCTTCGCCCAAGGAACATATCCTATATATCCAATTGGCACATTGTTTAGTATTACTTTATTTATTTCGTGCGGCGAATGCTTTTTATTGTTTGTGGATTTTGAGTGAGTTTGGCATGGTGATAGACGCTGGCTACCTTCATGTACCTGTAGTATTTAGATGAATAACAAGAACATTTCAAATAGAAAGATTGGATTTTGATTCATAAAAGGCGGCGTCAAATCAATAACAAAGAACAATAGTTTTGATTAGTCAATTAACACGATTTTAAATGAAACTTTTAAAAACGCGTCTAGTATTTGCATTTAATATAACCCTTAATCAATTAAAATTAATGATTTGACCTTAGCTAGACCTTATGGAGTTGTTACTAATTAATCTTGCCCTTTTCCTTGTGTAAAAGGCATAAGTTAAATGGAAAATAATTTTGGAACAACTTTTTTGTACCCTATTTTGGAACAACATTACTTGTTTAAATGATTGGTTCTTTTTATTCATTTGGTACTTATGATATTGAATACATTTACTCATTTAATTACACGTGAAAGTTGTATCAAAAGATAATATATAAAAAAAATTATCCTTATAACACTGCCCAAATTGAATTATGGACTAAATAGAGAAAAGGACAAATGTGATGACTTGATTGCTTTAATAAATATTTTCAAATAAAAATGCTTGACAAATCTTTCTAAAATGGAAAGATTTTTATTTAAATTGATTAATTAACCTATTGTTTCTAATTATTTTGCTGGAATACAATTTAGGGTCAACTTTTATGTATAACTTTTTCATATAACAATATATATTATTTAATAATTGACATTTTTTGCTTAATTAAGATCCATATATAGTGTTGTATACATTTATTCATTTAATAACAAATGAAAGTTGTAAATAAAAATTATTCACATATCATCTATTATTTCATAAGTTTTATTCATCTATTTTGCCGTAGATGAATACCCAACATTTCCTTGGTGCTTAATTAGCTATGCATAATGAGATGAGTTGTTCTATTGTCCTTGCTTCTCTCTTTTTTTTTTTTTCTTTTTTTTTTTCCATTTTAATTTTAGAATATGAAATTGAGGATAAAAAGGAATGAAACTGTTCCAATTAAAAGGGGAGAGGGCACAAACTAAATTCTAACAATGGTTTGAAAGTGCCACTGTGCCATTTATCCAGTATGTGATGATACTAGTGGTGTGGCTGCTAACGGGAAAAAGTTTCAAGCACGGAAAGTACATGATCAGTTTCAATGTTCCTCTGTAAAAAAATACATGTTAGTGATTCTAATAAAATCAATAGAAATTTTTGTATGGGAGGTCTATCAATTATGCTTCTCCTCTTGAGTGCTTTTTTATTGGTGCCACCATTTTCCACTGGTTCATATAAACCGGTATCCAAATTTATGCGGCTAACTGTTTTGTTCAGCAAGCTCTCCCCAGATATCACAAGATTTTCTTAATTCTCCTGTGTAGATGTGTCACCTGATGCCAAATCTCCATTTAAAGTATCATCCTAGTTTTTTAAGTGTTGACGATCACCTAATTTTTCAAAAATTATATATATATATAAAATAAAATAAAATTAGGTGTAAAAACAATAAAAAAAAAAGGAGTTGCCACTTATCTAAATTATAAAATGGGACAAATTACCTAAAATATGGTATGCACAAAGATCAAGGTCTCAAATACGATTAAGAGTAAGAAAAGGTATACACACCTTATAATCCCCTGTGTAAAACATGGTTGCATATTTTAATATTTGGGAATTTATTCAATTTTTTATTGTTTTTTGGTTTTGATTAAGTGAACGTTAAAAAGTAAATGAATGAAATTGCGAAGCTTGAAAATACTTGAATTGAATTGAACAAAATCAAGAACATGCATGTACGATTGCAACAAAATTAGAAGTGGAGAAACTGATTGGATTAAACTCGAAACATGGAGGACTGATTTGAAAAGATTTAAACTTGCTGGACTAAATTGCTTAATTTTAAAAAGTTTGGACAAAATTAACATTAAAACAAAGATGATTGATTTTTTTAAAAAAAATTTTAAACCGTGTTCACTCAAATTAAACATAATTAAGCTTGATTAATTAGAAATTAATTAAAATTAATTAAACAGCTAATCAAACATAATTAACCTTCCCATAAATGAAGACCCAAGTAGCAAAGATGATAGGAAACTGAGGAGGTAGGTGATTGCGAGAAGAAAGGAGAGACCCAAAGGCTATTCAAGATGATGCACGGCTGTTGTGAGGTGGAGACGATGATCTGCTACTTAGGAGGTTGCGTAATGTGGAGGAGAATATTCTAGAGGGATGAGATCGGTGATGGAAGATGACAATGAGCGGAGAATTGTGATGGTAATCGGAGAATGAAAACCAGGTATTTTATTTTTATTTTTATTGTTGGGTTTGGGTTTGGGTTTTAATGGGTTGGTTTGTGAAATTGGGTTAAGTCTTGAATTAAATGGCTAGTGGGTTTAATATTTGGGTTTAGGCCAGATTTGTTGGTTTTTCTTGATGATTTCACCCCTAACTTTTAATTTCTTCACATACATCCCTTTCTTGAGTTCTTTTTTCAAATTTCTTCACAAAATTTTCTCTTTTTGCATTAGCACCTAAAACAAAATAAAGTATATGTTAGTTAAAGAAAAGAGAAAATTTCATATTTTTATATTTTTGTGTTTTTTTCACATTTTATAATTTTTATGATTTTCTTGATTAATTTTAAATATATATATTATGAAAAGTCTAAATAAATTAAATGAAAAATTGAGTTATGACACCAAGCACAAGTCAATAAATACCGGCCATTTGAACAAGTACCCCTACTAACCACATATATAAACCAAACCAGAGCAAACTGTATGTAAATGCTAAGCTTACATCAATTCAAAGGTTGCTGTGCTCTGAATCAAGGGTTTGAAAAACTGCAACAATATGATACTTAACCATGTCTTTGCTAGCGTCATTATAACAATCTATTATTTGGGTATTCCCATATTCATACAACCAGCATAAAATACCCCACTCAGATGACATCTTAGCATTGTATTTTTGTTCAAATTTGTTGGAGCTTGTTCTCAACGAGACCACAAGAAACCAAGTGTAATCCAGGGTCTTGATGTCAGGGAAGAAATCATCTTAGCATTGTATTTTTATTCAGATTTGTTGAAGACTTCAATTGATTTTTTTCGTTGGCTAGCTTTCCAAGCTTGTGCTTTCAAAAATAATGATGAGACTTATGACTCTAAAATTCGAGGTAACTTTCTTTAGATGATAAAACTTTTGGCATCATACAATAATGAAGTTGAGAAAGTTGTTTTAGAAAATGTTCCATTCAATTCGAAATGTACTTCACCTGACATTCAAAAGGAAATTTTACAAATCTTTACAAGTAAAGTTATGAAATATATATGTGAAGAAATTGGAGAATCTAAATTTTGCATTATTGTTGATGAAGCATGAGACAAGTCCAAAAGAGAGCAAATGGCTCTTGTTTTAAGATTTGTTGATAAGGAAGGTTTTATTAGAGAACGACTTTTTGATATTGTACATGTTAATGACACTAAAGCACTTACTTTAAAAAAGGAAGTGTGGGGTGTTCTTTTTTGATATAGCCTTGATATTCAAAATATTATTGGACAAGGATACGATGGTCCAAGTAATATGCAAGGGGAGTGGAAAGGTTTGCAAGTATTGTTTCTTAATGATAGTCCATATGCATATTATGTTCATTGTTTTGCTCATAAAACTACAACTTGCTTTGGTTGTTGCTTCTAGAGAAGTTATTTCTATTCATCAATTCTTTGCAATTTTGGCTTTCATCATAAATATCATTTTTGCTTTTAGGAAACGTCACGATTAATTGCAAGCTTCCAAACTAGCAAAACTCAAATGTTTGTTAGAAATTGGTGAACTTGAAACTGGGAAAGGGAAAAATCAAATCCACATAGTGATAAAGGCAAGAGATACTTCCTAGAGTTCTCGTTTTGATTCCATTTGTAGCTTGATTGAGATGTTTGATGCTACAAATTCTGTTCTTCAAGATATTATTGATGATAATGTTTCTACTTATTCTCAACATGAGGATGCTGATGCTGCTTATAAATTGATGACATCATTTGAGTTTGTGTTTATTTTGCATTTGATGAAAGAAATCATGGGGATAGTAGATATTCTTTGTAAAGCAATACAACAAAAAGATCAAAATATTGTTAATGCTATACAATTTGTATCAACTACAGTAGCTCTTATTCAAGACAAAAGGGATAATAAATGGAATGATTTGCTTGATGAAGTTAAACAGTTTTGTGAGCATCATTTTATAGAATGGGCATTTCATCCACGAAGTTGGTTAAGATAAGACTTAGAAACAAAAGGGAGGATGTATTTCTTGTTAACAGTTTGATCATCTACGTCAAGAGGGAGATTGCAAAAAAATTTTACTTCAGATTCAATTATCAAGAATTTTAAATATTTAAAAGAGAGACAAACATTATTTTAAGAGATAAGTATTATTTTTTATTATTTTTATTTCAGCATTTAATTGATTTTGGTAAAAATAATAATTAATTATTAAATCTATTTCTTATGTTATATGTTAAGCTACGTTATAGGATCCGACATTCATAATGGACCTGCACATGAGT